TCCAACCTGCCTATTATTTTCTCTAATCCCCTTTCCCCTCCCTTATTCCCTTCCTTGATACCCCCTACTATATTCATATCATATTTTTTACATTAAAATGATTCATATATGAAAAAAATGACTTATCCTACTTATCCTTCTGAGTGACTTAGTTTGTTTAACATAATGATCTCTAGTTCCTTTCATCTTCTTGCAAATGACATAATTTCATTCTTTATGAATGAATGAATTCATTTAATCCACTGATCGTCATCTATACTGATTCCACAACTTGATATCATACTCTTCCTGGACCTTCAAATTTCTCATGAGAAATTTGCTGCTATTTTTCTAATAACTCATTATCTCTCTCTGGCTTTTTTCAAAATTAGTTTTTCTCTAGTATTCATAAGTTTATTGGGTCTAGACATGAATTTCTTTGGGTTCTCCCATTTATCATCAGCTTTTTAAGTATGCAGTTTTATGCCCTTCCCAAACTTGAGAAAACATGCAATACTTGTCCTTCTAAGTGGTTTATTTCTCTTTATATTATGAATTCCATTTGCATCCAAATATGGGAAGTTATCTGTCATCATTTCTTTGAAAACTCACTCATCCTCTCTCTATTCTATCTTTCTTGAACTCTGATGATACCAGTGTTGGGTATTTGATGTTGTCCAACAGGTCCTTGAAGTCAGTCTTCTTCTATTTCTCTTAATTTTCTCCTAGTCTTTTCCCCTCCTTCTCCTTGCATAGATAATTTTATTTCTGTTATTAATAATACAAAATTTCCATTTTTCTATTCTCAATTTCATTGAATTGATCCTTTTTCATCTTCTAGTATTCAGGCCATTCTGTGAGTTTTTTATTTTATCATTGTATATAATTTTCATTTAGTTTTATTTTTAAGATGACCTGTGTGTTTTCTATGAGTTTTTTCTTTTTCATCCCACTGCCCTCCAGTTTTAATTGGTACATTATAGTTGTACATACTGATGGGATTTGTTGTTACATACATACCACACTATACAATATAACAACATAATTTGGCCACTACCACTTCCCAGCACTTTCCCCTCTCTCTTCAATTTCCAACCCATGGTCTCTTTCCTTTACTAATCTCCTTTTGATTTTAATGAGATCTGCCTCCATCTTTCTTTTCCTTTTCCTCTCTAGCTTCTGCCTATAAGAGAAAACATAGGATCTTTAACCCTTTAAGTTTGACCTATTTCACTTAGCATAATGGTTTCCCGTTCCATCCATTTTCTTGAAAGTGGCATAATTTCATATTTTTATGGCTGCATAAAACTCCACTGATATATACCACATTTTTTATCTATTCATCCATTGATGGATACCTCTGCTGGTTCTATAGTTTGTCTATTGTGAATTGTGCTGCTATAAACATTCATGTGCACGTATCACTGTAGTACGATGACTTTAATTCTGCAGGATAAATACTGAGGAGTGGTATAGTGGGATTATGTGATAGTTCCATGCCTAACCTTTTATAAACTTATTTCCATAGTGGTTGCACTAATTTATAATCCCACCAACCGTGTAAAAGTATTCCTTTTTCTCCACATCCTCTCCAGCATTTATTATTTCTGTTCTTGATGACTGCCATTCTGACTGGTGTGAGATGAACTCTCAATGTAATTTTGATTTGTATTTCCCTAATTACTAACAAGGTTGAACATTTTTTTCATCTATTTCTTGGTCATTTGTATTTCTTTTTTTGAGGAGTGTCTATCTCATTCGTGTGCCCATTTGTTAATTAGATTACTTAAATTTTCTTGTGTAAAGTTTTTTGAGCTCTTTATACATTCTAGATATGAATTCTTTGTCAGAAGAGTAGTTTACAGAGATTTTTCTCCTTCTGTGGGTCCTCACAACACATTCTTAATTGTTTCCTTTGATATGCAGAAGCTTTTAAATCTGATGCCATTCTATTTTTAACTATTGTCATGTTTCCTGAGCTTTAAGCATCCTATTGAAAAAGTGATTGCCCGTGCCTACATATTAGAGTGTTGACACTACTTTTTCTTCTTGGAGTTGCATAGTTTCTGGTATACTTATCAGATCTTTGATCATTTTTTGAGCTGAGTTTTGTGTGAGATAAAGGGTGAGAGATAAAGAGTCTAGTTTCATTCTTCTACATATGGATAACCAATTTTCCCAACACCATTTGTTTAAAATGCTGTTTTTTTTCCTCCAATATATGTTTTTGGCACCTTTGTCAAGAATCAGATGATTGTAGATGTGTGGATTTGTCTGTGTCTTCTGTACTGTTGGTCTTTGTGTCTGTTTTTATGCCATTGCTGTGCAGTTTTTGTTATTATAGCTCTGTAGTATAATTTGAAGTCAGGTATTGTAATGTCTCCAGTATTGCTTTTTCCCCCCTCTTTGGTTTAGAATTGCTTTGGCTATTATAGGTATTTAATTATTCCAAATGAATTTTAGACTGTTTTTTTCTAGTTGTGCTGAGGGCCGTTGCTAAGTAAGAATGATGCATGGCATGACCCAGGTCATTTGCAGTGTCATTGCATGTAAGGCATAGTTGTATGAAGAATGTCATTGGTAATTTTGATGGGGATTTCATTGAATCTGTATATTGCTTTTGAGAGTATGGCCTTTTTATTAATATTAATTCTACCTATCCATGAACATGGGAGGTTATTTTTCATTTTTTAAAATAAAACTTCTAATTGCTTTTGAGACATGTCTATTATAGCTATTTGAATTTTCTGTTAATAATTCCAATATTTTCCTCTGTTGATATTGGTATCAATTAATGGTCTATTCTCACTAAGGATGACATTTTCTTTGTTCTTCATGTGAGTAATTTTCAACTGAAGCTGAGACATGCTGGCTATTTTATTGAGACTTTGGATATCATTTAAAGCTTTTAAACTTCTATTTTTGTTGTCACTCATCTTGTTTAGGTTTAGTGCTCAGGTCTTTTGTTACCTGAATTGTTGCCAGTTGTGGTTCCACAAAAAAATTTTATTTTTGGAGGTTTTGCTGTGCCATTTTGATCTACCTGATTTATTTAATGATATGGGGGCCTTCTGATGATCTTTTTTACTTTTTGTTTGAGCTGCTTTATTAGCTCAGCTGCCCTGGTGTCCCTAGGTGAGGGAAGAGTTTATGATCCAAATGGACAAAGAGCACTTCACCTGGCCTCTTGTCAGCTTGGCTTCTGTGCAATCCTTATCCTTTTTCAGGAGTTTCTGGGTTCACCTGGTATTGTCAGTGATCTGGTGAAGAAGTGAGCCTACTTTCTGTTCATGGGTTAGGTATAAGATGCTTTACTGCTGTGTTGTCACTTTAGTTCCTGAGTCTCTAATGTGTCTAGCTTCCTCTTTCCACCATTCAAAGTTCTTCCATGGTTGCCAGTTGTTGTGTTTCCAGGGGTTTAAATTATCTTTAGTAGGAAGAGACATATTTATGTTATTTTATCCAGACCTACTCTTTGAGCCTTCATACCATAAATCCTTATTTAAGCTGTTGACTCACCAAACATAAGGCTTCATGCACTTGTCTGAATCCTGGGAAATGGCAAAGAACAGCACACAGATGATTGAGTTCTATTTGTTGCAAGATATAGGCATGATCAAGTCATCAGATTATGATCACTCATGTGAAGGATGCTCCTTTTTGTTTCTCAAGTCCTAAGTCTGAAAGACAGGTCTAGCTAAACTTCCTTAGAATCTGCTTAAACCTAATAAACTCTTATTCATCTGAGCAAATGTCACCTCCAGTGGGGACTCACTTGACATTTAATCATTCTCTCTTTTGTGATAGTTTGACCATGCTCTTCAATAGCTGTACTTTTCCCAATGAAATGTATTTATTTTTTTCTTTCAATGAAATATATTACTTATTTTATTCTGTATTGTCAGTGAGTTATTGAAAGTCCACCTCTTGGTTAAATCCTACATGTGTTTTTTGATGTCTGACCATAGGCCATTACAAATGCCTTGTCTGACAAGCCTCATGAGAATCAGCTGTTCTCCCCATACTCAGACTTGGTGCACAGAAAATGCATGCATTCCCTGGAGATGTAATCAAGGATTCAGACCTTCCCATTGTCTCATACTCTTGCACATATTTTCATCCCTAGTCTGGCTGCCTTTGTTCTTAGGTCGTTTTATTTGAGGGCTTGGACAGAAGTTTTTTTTAGGTGCCTTTGTGGAGGACTTCTTATGAGGGCAGGGACTGCGTACTTGAAGACACTTTTCCCTCTCCAATTAGTATCCTGTGATTTCTCTATCCTTTGTTGCTTCCTACAGTGTTTAATTATGCCACTTTTTTATAGCAATAAAGTTATCTATTTATTTTACTAGTACTTTGAAACATTTGACATTAGCTTTGTTAATCTACACAGTCTTTCTATTTCCATAAGTCTTTTTCAGTGATTTCCATATTTCTGTTTTCTAGCCTTCCCCCATGTCCCGTTCACAAAATCAGAATTCATAAAACTGCTTGTCCCTTTGTTTGGGGCTCCTTTAGCAGTAACACAATTGTTGCCTGCATTGGTGCACTTGATCCTGGACCAGCCTGCCATTTCATGGAAGAAAAGGGAATGGGGAGTTGGCAAGTTCTTAGTTTTAGCTTTTTTGCTTATACTATGACAGTAAATGATTAAAGGCATCACTGCACTGTTATTTTTATTTTGACTCATTTTTGCTTTAATGAGCTACTGGAAGACATGACAGCTTAGCTTTCTCCACTTCAGTTGACCTTCTGAAAATTTCCTCATTAGAAGGATCTATCTCTATCTTATTCACATATTCATATTTAATGCTTAGAAATACCTAATCATGTAATAAATTCATATTCATATGTGGTATTAATAAATGCCACATAGGTGTTTGCAGGTGTGTTGTAAGTGTATGTATATGCAAGACAAAAATAGGGGGGTGAGTTATGACTATGGAATTGATGGACCTGGATTAGAACAGTTATGGCCTTGGGATATTGTCTTCATTTTAATCTTTTCCTTCTTTTCTCCCTAGCACTGGGCTCAGGTTCTCTCATTTCTATAATGAGATTTGTTAATGGAGGCATTCAGCTACTATCCTCAGGTTGGTTATCCCAGCCCACAGTGAAGTGGAAAGGCCTGCTGGGACATGATTTATCTTCAGATTCCAAGGTAACTGCAGACAGACATAGCCCATTTGATGTCAACTCCTCATTTGTAGTCCAAGAGAATGTTGGAAGCATATCATGCTCCATTCAGGACCCTGACCCTGACCTGAGCCAAGAGTTGGAATCCAGAGTATGGATAAGAGGTGAGTAGGGAGGAGAAAGAGGAGTAGGGGTGCATGCTTGGATAACCCAGAGGGAGACTAGGAGCCTTTCTGTTTCTAATTCTTGTTTAATATTGATCCGTTTTAATGATTCATTTTGAAAGTCAAGGTTAATGTGATATAAACAATAAAATAATTACTGGGCACAGTGGCACACACCTGTAATCCCAACTTCCTAGGAGGCTGAGCAAAGAGAATTTCAATTCTGAGGCCACCCTGGGCAACTTAGTGAGACTGTCTCAAAATAAGAAAAGGACCAGGGCCATAGCTTAGTGGTTTAGTGCCTTCTTAGCATGTATCTCTTGGATCAATCCCCAGAATTGAACAATAATTTCAACATAACAACAACAACAGGTAGAAACAGACTTGTTTACAATTCCAGAGAAGTTGGATTAAGTATTTTCTTTGCTACATGATCAGTATATGGGGCACCCCTCCAAATTCAACTCTTAAAAAAACTTAAGAATTTGCATTAACTCTAGGAAAAAGGGGAAAAGTTTACTTTTAATAAGTTTATTAATTTTAAAGAAAATATATTGTCATTGCCTTATGAAACTGAATAAAATTTAAAATGTAGAAATTTTCATGAAGATTTTAAAAGAATAGGTTAATTCATGTAGATCCAAATATGTCAGTAATTACTATGTAAAACATCCTAATTTGTCAGTTAAAAGAGAAAGATTGTAGATTGATTTTTTTTAAAAAAATTTGTTTTAAAAATTTTAAATCAATGTAGGAGAAAAATCTAATAATGTGCAATATTTTGTTTTAGATGCTGACGAACCTTCATTTTATTTATTTATTTGTATGCGGTGCTAAGAATTGAACCCAGTGCCTCACACATGTCAGGCAAGTGCTCTACTGAAGAGAACTGGGGGGAAGAATAGACAAATAGTAACCAAAGGCATACCATCATAGATACATTAGTATCTATGATACTATACAAAAGAAAAAGAGGAGAGCTTTAAGATGATGGAATAGAGGAGGTTGCTTTCTGGCTGCTCTGCTCTCTTTTGTTTTGAGACCAAAAAAACAGACAGGCAGCTTCTCAGCAAAGTGGTTGAGAAAGGTGAAAGGGCTTTCCTGGGAGTTAATACTGGACATTGAAGGCAGATTAAGGACTCAGGAGGTTGGATATAATAGAATAAGAAGAACTCTGCATTGCTACTGCTGTTGCTGTTGCCAGTCAAATCAGCCCTCCATGAATGAGCAAAGTGGAGGGATGAGGAATTTAAAGGAACCCATAGTTTTAGGAGGCCTGTTCAATGTTTGGGTATGGAGAGATCAGCCATCAAAGACACAGCTGGACTAACCAGAAAGGTGTGTTGCACAATATCCTTGTGTGGGAAAGAAGCCACACCTGTCCTGGCAGCCCAGAGAGGACAGAGACATTTTGCAGCTGCACCATGGGAGCCAGCAGCTGGGGGAGCCCAATCCTGGCAAACCCAAGTTGGGCCCCAAATTAGGCCTGGCAAAACCATACCACATGACCTAGAGAATGCCTAAGTGACCTGGAGAAAATCAAGCTTGGAGAAGGGTTTACACAGGGGAATACATGAATTTACAAGGGCAGGATTGAGTTTGGAGCCTGAATCCAAGAGACTAGGAAATGTGAGATCTGCAGATGATGGAAAGGACAAAGGATTGGCTCCTTCACTGCATGAGTGGAACCTAGGGGAGATTCCTGGGGTGCAGTCTCCCAGTGTGGAGAGCAACTGCTGGGCCCTGAATGTGTGCTGATTGAAAAGTTTCAGACCAATCACCATTCCAAGAACCTGGAACCTACCTAGGCCCAAACCACACCTCCAGGAACTCTGCCTATGGGATCTCCTCTCACACTCTACTGACCCCATCCTGAAGGTGGAGCAGACATCACACTCCAACCCACTCCACCTAACACTGTGGAGAAGGGAAGCCAAGAATTTTAAAAAGCACCATTAGAAACAATTCTTTGACTTTTCATTGAGATCTTTTTTCCCCTTTCTCTGTTTCATTGTGATCTGAATGATTCATGGACATGATACATATACATATGTGTCTTTTTCCCCCTCCTTTCTAGCGTTTTTTGAAGGAAGTTACTTTTCATGGCTTAGTATCTTGAGGGCTAGGATGTTTGATTAGTATATTTCTGTTTTATTTTGTATTCTTTTATTTTTATTTTTTTAAGAGAGAGAGAGAGAGAGAGAATTTTTTTAATTTTTTTTTTTTTTTTTTTTTTTTTTTTAGTTTTTTCAGCGGACACAACATCTTTGTTTGTATGTGGTACTGAGGATCTAACCCGGGCCGCATGCATGCCAGGCGAGCGTGCTACCGCTTGAGCCACATCTCCAGCCCCAATATTCTTTTATTTTTTATTTTAAAATTTTATTTTTTAAATTTTTACTTCTTAATATTTTAATTTTTATTTTGTATATATTTGTCTTCTCACTTATCTATTTCCCTTGATTCTTTTTTCCTTCTGCTAATAGCCAAACTCTTTGTTCTCTCTTTTACTCTTCCTTTTTTTTTATATTTAAAATTTCTAAAATATTTTCTGTCCTCCCTCATAATCTTCACATCCTATATCTCATCTCTTCTCTCCTGGTTCACCATTTAAAATTACAAACCCTTTTACAAACTTAATGTTTTTACTATGGGCAATAATTGATCACATCATTTCTGTTTATAGTGACAATTAACATTGTAAATGTCATAGTAGAAACTAGTTGGTTTAATGCTGTACATCATTTGCATTGGTTGTTATCATTTGTCTCCCCCTGAACTGTGAGGTACTGGAAACTTTCAGGGACACAGTAAGTTCATAGGGTAGAAAAATCTATAAATCTAGGTATGTGTAGGTTATCCATTGGGGGGCATAAATACTGATGACAGTTATTTCTTGTTGTATGGTTCCCTTAAGCAGTATTAAATGAACTTCTTGGTCTTCTGATTAACTTGGCTTTACGTCCACTTTATCTGCTATGAGGATAAAAACCCCTGCTTGTTTATGAAATCTATGTGAATGATATATTTTTTTCCCAGCCTTTTACCTTTAGTCTGTGGATGTCTTTGCCTATGAGGTGAGGCTGTTGGAGACAGCATATTGTTGGGTATTGTTTTTTAATACAACCTGCCAGTCTATGTCTTTTGATTGATGAGTTTAGTTCATATATATTCAGTGTTATTATTGAGAAATGATTTGTATTCCATCATTTAAATTTATTTCTGGTTTTTAATTTGAATTAGTTTCTCCTTTGATCATCTATTCTTTTAGCATAATTTCTTCCTTTATAGTTTTTCACTTTTATTTTTTATTTCTTCTTCATAAAATATTTTATTGAGTGTGTTTTGTCATGCATGCTTTCTAGTTGTGAATAACTTTTGTTTATCATGGAAGGTTTTTATTTCATTGTCAATTCTGATGCTTAACTTTGTTGAGTATAGTATTCTTGGTTGGCATCCATTTTCTTTCAGATCTTAGTATATATTATTCTAAGACCTCCTAGCTTTGAGAGTCTGGGTTGAGAAATCAGCTGAGATCTGGATTAATTTCCCTCTAAATGTGACCTCTTGTTTTTCTCTGGCAGCATTTAAAATTTTATCTTTACTTTGTATTTTAGGCATTTTTATAATAATGTGCCTTGGTTGATGTGGGTCTCTTGTAATTTTGTATATTGGGGATCTGTATACCTCCTCTATTTGATTTTCCTTTTTATTTATTAAGGCTTGGGAATTTTTCTGATATTATTTTATTCAAAACATTATGCATTCCTCTGGTTTGTATCTCCAAGCCTTCATTTGTCTTGATCAATCTTAAATTTGGTCTTTCCATGTTATCCCAAATTTCTTGAAAGTTCTGTTCATGATCTCTTAACATCTTTTCTCCATGGCCAACTTTATTTTCAAGATGATATATTTTGTCTTCATTGATTGCTATGTCTTTCAAGTAGTCTAGTCTGTTGGTAATGCTTTCCACTGAATTTTTATTTTGGTTTATTGATTCCTTCATTTCAAGTATTTCTACTTGATTTTTTCCCCAGAATCTCTATCTCTTTTTTGAAGTAATCTTTCATATCCTGTACCTTCTCTCTTATTTTACTCTTTACTCATACTTTACCTTGCAGATCAGTTTATGTATTCTAAACTCCTTCTCTGACATGTCTTCCATTGTGGTATTGATGGAATTCTGTTATTGAAGTATTTTGATTTGTTTGGGGCAGTTTTTTTTTCACTTGCTTTTTCATGTTGTTTGTGTGTCTACTCATCTAACAGTATGATCTGAGGCAGAAGACTTTCTACCCTATGAGCTTATAGTGATCTTGAAAGTTTCCAGTACTTCACAATTAGAAGGAAACAATAACAATAACCAATGCAAACAGTATACAGTATTAAACTAAATATTTACTTCCTACTATGACATCTACAATTTTAACTGGAACAATAATCAGGAATTGTATGGTAAGCAATTACCAACAGTAAAAACAATAAGTTTGCAAAATTGTTTGCAATTTCAAAAGGTAAACAAGGAGAATGCAGAAGAGATTTAGGATGTGACGACAGTGAGGGAGTAAGAGAAAAAATAGAAATAAAAAAATAAAGGAAGAGTGAAGAGAGAACAATAGAATTTGCTAGCAAAAGAAAAGAGAGAAAGAGAATCAAGAGGAAAAAGACAAGTGAAAAACAAAACAAAACAGAGCAAAAATATAGTAATCCAAAATCCTTAGTCCTCAAAAGACAAAGCCATGAAAAATAACTATGTTCAAAATATGCTGGAAATGAGAAAAGAGAGACAAATATGTATATGCATAAATGTCCATGAATCATTTTCAGCACATAGACAAAGAGAGAGCAAAAGGAAAAGAAAAAAGAGATTCTTGATGAAAAATTAAGGACTTGTTTTCATTGCAGTGGTCAAAAATTATCAAGAAGAATATGTTTGTTGTCTGTTCCCAAATGTCTTTATTTCTCTTTCTTCTTGTGGTATGTATCATTCAAAAGTAGTG